ATCAAAGCAAGGATAAACCTGTGAGTTGGATGTAGAAGTGTCATAATCAATATAGATGTTTCTGTGTCAGAGTAAATTCAGATGGAACATATTAAAACTAGGTAAATTCTTACCTCCGCCTAATATAAAAAAAAAACGTACTTATAGTGAAAACCACCCTTGAATGATGGCATGGTAGACTAAAAGCTTTAGGAATCCAAACTATAACATATAATAAGTACCCTGTATCAGGATTGATGCAAAACAAGTGACATTTGACCTTTTTAGAGAGGTTTAGCAAAAGAAACCCCTCAGTCGATTTTGATGATTGACATCTCTTTTGAACCGTCAGAGCCAATAGAATCGAGAGGGAGTTCCTCAAGTGAGAGTGATGCGCACGCAGTTTGCCCAAACCGAAAGCTATGTTACGCTCTGAAAACTGAAAACTAGGCTTATTACCATAAATATGATGATGGATTATCAGTGATCTTTTCAAAGTGACACAGACACATTGGATTAACCTTCAGCAGCGTTTTTCTCGTTTTAATGCCATTGAACACAACTTTTGATCAGAAAAACAGCAAAGGTAAGACATATTTGCCGTTTTGGCTCAGTAAAGCTACGTTGTGCGTTGCCTGGGTTTGCCTTCGCTGCCGCGAGTTTTGGTCGCACAGTGATGATACTTATATCTCTAGAATGTGTGGAATGTCAGCTTTAATCTGATATCTTTTCTGCAGATCTGATAAGTAATAAAGTATTTCTGCCGTGAGTTCTGTGCTAAGTGCGTTAGCATTTCTTCGCTCAGGGCTAATTCAGAGGCTTGTTATTACCCTTGTGTTTTGTTTAGCTAAAAATCGTTCATATCGCCAGTTAGCTGAGTTTCTTCCCGTTAAGTGGGTATGACACATTAATAGGTTGTTAAATGTTAAGAAGCCCTGAGACACAGTTTCGCCGGCGGGGGCTGCCGGGCTTAACAGGTTAAGCTGAAAGCAGAACAAAGACAACATGTAATACATTTCCAAGTTGGTATTGGATTCCGAGTATTATCTGAGGAACAATACCTCATTTTCATTGCTACAACATTTAAATAAGCCACTATCTTGGGGTCCTAATGAAAGTTATTTGAATAACATCCGTGCTAAAAATGTATTTTGTCCATGAAACAACCAGACAGTACTACAGCAAAAGTTATTATTTCTACATAAAATAAAAACATGTATTTTTGTTCAATAAAGTAGAAAGATCTACTATGCTTGCTATTGCTGGCTGGATAGAAAAGTGTTCAATAATTGATCAAATAGCCAAATGTACATGAACAGAAGATATGTGTCCACTCTTTAAGCAGATGTAGACATTGGGAGACAGGCTATGGGGTAAAAATGGATTTAAGTAGTATCCTATTAATCACGGGTGCATAGTGACAGGCAATACCTCTCACTGCTTAGTAACCAACCCCTGCAGGGCAACCGTCAGAGTGATGAGATTTACCAATCGCATCTCCTCTCTAAGTGTCCATTGTGTGGCAGCAGATCTTTAACACATGTGGTTCTCTAACACTGCTGTTGTTCTTTCTGCTAGTATTATTAATTATTCAAACACACATATAAAAGGATCAATACACAAAAACAACAAATCATAGGTGAAAGTGTACATAAAGTATTCAGCAGCTTGTGTTCTTTTTGCTGCATTTTATACAAACCAGGAAGTGCACGTCCACACCTTCAGATAGAAAATATCAGTGCTGTCTTACCTTGAACAGGCGCAGTATGTTAGCCACCATGATGGAGACGGAGCTGGACGAGGCTCCGATGACGCCCACCACCCTCTCAGGTTTGGTGATGATTGGTGCCCCTCCGCCAAGACACTTGACGTCTGTCCCGTCCTTCTCGATGAGCGCCTGCACGAAGGTGAGCGACTGCTCCAAGGCGTGAGTGTCCCTGGAACAGGTGTCCAGGATACGTGCCCCCAGAGTGATGTTGGGCAGCAGATTATGGTCGTTATTGATGCGGTCAAGGGCAAAGAGCATGGCCTCCAGTCTGTGTATACCCTTCTCTTTCTTCAGCTCCCCACATGGCTTGCCATCGTGGCCCCTGGCGTGCACCGGGAAGAGCCCACCTAAGGAGATGTGCCCGTCGATGCGGATGGAGTTCAAATGTGTGTGTCCCGGCCCTTTGGGTTTGGCAGCCTGAGTGACTTCTAGAGAGCTGTAGAGGAGAAGCAGCAGCAGCAGAGGCAGAGTCAGGCTTGTCCGATTCGGTCTACACGCTGGGGGTTGAAACATGGCCGCGGCCCGAGCACACATCTACACGGCTACAACCGAACCCGGCAATCCGAAAACAACAAAAGCTAGGTATCACTTGACGACGGCCAGAGGGTTAATTGCAATACCTTTTGAAGCAGTTGGCACAGAAAAGGCTTCGTCTCATGTCTCTTCTCTCTTCCAGGCATTCAATTAATGCAGAATATGAGCTTGGTTATTTAACTGAAAAAAATCCAGTCCTCTTCCCCTCTTTCAGTCCCTCACTCCATCATCTGACCACAGTGGTCGGCAGCTGCTCCTTTGCCTGTTGTTGTTATTCATAGACTTACCTATGGAGATCCTTCACTTGGGGCATTAGGAAGAACAAAGGTGAGCGATAAGCCTTTTTCTCCGTCTCTCCTTCCTCTCTTGCTCCGGCTCTTTCCTCTCCACCTCAATCAGAAGTTTTTAATCTCCCCTGTTCCCCTGGGCAGGGATTTGGTATATGTCAGAGCCCTCAGGCCTGCTTAGGTCCACAGGCTTCAGAGTGAATTCCTGAAAGATGAAAAAGAGAAGAGTAGTGAGCGAGTGCACAGAGAAAATTGAAAAAAAAGGTAGAGGGATTTGTTGTGGTGAGAGCTTTTCAATACTACTTTTTTGCTTAACCTTTTAAGTGTAGCGTTATGTGGAATAAAGAGACATTTCTGCCCGAAACTCTTTTCTTTCTCTTATATAGTCTTCCTACGTCTACCATTTGAAATTGTAAGGTTTCCATAGGCTCTCAAGGTTGACAAGGCTGAGATTCAGATCTCAACGCTTCATATTCACCAATCAACCTTGCTGCCTAAGTATTATGGTTACAGTGATATAAAAACAGTGCTGTTGGCATTAGCAGTAGTTAGGTTGGTGTTTTGTGTTCTATATTTTTTTATAAAATGTATCACCATTGCCGCCACTTTACTTCTTCAAAGCCTGACAATTCATCAGAAAATTAAGAATTTAAAGGGAAGTTCAAAAAGACTGAATAAACTACAGATAAGGATTATGTCGCTTTGCGCTGAATGGACCTCTCCACCATTACCCAGGTATCTCTGCTTACTACAGCCAAAATCAATTACATATATTCTAATGGGATTCCTATGTGGGCCTCAGAGACTCTGAGCATGTCTAGGTCTGTGCCTTGAAGGCTAGAAAAGTACAACAAACCAATGGGGGTATGTTCTAAGAAAAGAAGTAGAAATTATAATTACGCTATTACAAATAGAGAATGGCTTTTGTATCCAAAGTTGACAAAAAGAAAAAATACCCGCCTTAAAAATAAATCACTGCAATAAGCAAGCTGTCTTCTGGGCATACATGAATACTGAAGATACTGCACATTTTCTAAATCAATGAAACGTCATCCAGATCACTGATGCCTGTAATATTTCCCATGGAAGGATATACAGATGTTACACTTCCTGATCACATATAGAAAAAAGAACTTCAATGCCTTGAAGACATGAAGATTTCATCTCTTGAGAGACGGACGTCACTAGGGCAGCAACTTCGTTTCATTATTGACTACAGTCCACACTCTTGACACTCTCATTTCCTCCCTTTTTTTTTTCCTTTTTCTGAGACACACAATGCATGCATGCCATATAGACACAAAATGTGCTATTCAATCATGTATGTACATATCTACACCCTGTTAATTCCCGGAGCAGAAATAGGCTCTGACGGAACAATCTCCCTCCACGCGGTAACAGAATAGAGCTGTAGACATTGGTTTCCAGCAGAGTGGGTTGAAGCCTCGGATCAGCAGCGGCTGAGATTCATTGAGAGTGTATTGGAAGTGACAAGGTCCTTTGAATACACCCAACTATCTCCTGCTGAGTGAGAAGTAATTTTTCAGAGTTGATTCACTGCAGGTTCACTTCAACTGCTGCAGAGCAGATGACAACTGGAAAACCAGCCAACTCACCTTAGCCCCCAACACCAAATAGGAACCAGCATATCTAACATCACACAGACACGTAGGAGTCTGCCAGCATACCTCGGTATAGGTGAAAGAAAAAAAAGTTTAGCTGTAAAAAATTGAAGGGTTCGAAAAACAGTTCTGCAAGACTGCATTTTTCAAGACAGATGTCATCAAACTTTGTGTTTGCACAAAAGAAGAGCTGGCGGGGAGTCTGTCTCCGTCAGACTGACGACAGCGAGCCAATCTGAAGAGTATCTCGAGATGCAACTGAAGGAAAAACATCTTACACCTCACAAGATTACATCGAGCACTATCGCGTTAATCAGCTGGTTTTGTCTGCTTTCAGATACGTTATAGTGTTTCCTCTTTGACCGGGGTGTAAGTAAATCTTTTTTTTATCTAAAAGATCTGTTCTTTAGGTGAGGGCTGGTTGTAGCCTCTGAATAAATCATTTCAAAATACCACCATCATTCTTGAAACCCATGAATCCCATTTTAATCAAGCATCAGTGTTAAGACCTTTCAGAGCTTTATTCACCATGACATGTAGTGATGTAGTAACTGAATACAAAGTGCAGTATTAGCATACTCAGTGAAATCTGGTTCCATATTATCACTGTTTCTTTGTAGATCTTATTTCCAGAACTCAGCTGTAATACTGCATGTAACTCAGACTTGACTTGTGTCTCATATTACAATCCTCCAAGATTCACTGTATCCAACCTCAGTTTAAGTTTGCTTTTGAGATACTGCATTGAGAAAACAACATGCGTGTGTATATTGTATTTTCATGTAATGGCATACCTCAATAAGCATGTACAACACAGACCTACACACGGAAAATAAGCAACAACAAAATGTCAAAGAGAGCTGCGAGAATTACTGAGATTTGTATCAGGAGAACAGCCTTTCCTCAGGTGCGGCGTATTAAGTTTCTGAATGGACTATGCATTCATTTCAAAAGGCCATACAGTAACCTTCAGGCAAATAAGGGTGTACATACGTAAGCTACAGCAGCAGCAACATATGCAGTAACACCTTTTGATAAGCCAAAAACCTGACCACTTACAATTATAAAATGTGTTATGCACATTAAAGGTGACCATTTTGCAACTTTAATAATGGAGATTGAATTGAATGAGTATTCTCGACTGAATTATTATTAAATAACAACATTTTAATGTGCAGAAGGAGACATATTGTGGGCGTTTGCTTACATCTTGTTTGCTCGCTTCGCCTACACATCTGTCACCATGACTATATTTGAAGTGTACAGACCTTTTTTGATATTTAAGAAAGTGTTGCAACATGCAACATTTTTTGAAGGAGGTCTAAGGACAACTTTGTGTTTTAACAGAAGGGAAATAGTGTGTTAAGAGTAATACAAACCGAATATTTGTTCACTAAGAAATATGTATTGCTTTTAATCCACTTAAACCAGACCAAATGCACTTTACCTGAAATAGTAATACTGATATACTCTCCTTGAAAAAACAATGTGCTTTCCGGACCAGCCCCTACATCTTGAAACACACAATGTGATAGCACTTCCTCGTTAGAAATGTTGCAGCTCTAGTCCAAGTCTTTTACAGTCCAATCAGTATGGCAAAAGGGACATTATAAATACAAACAAGGACATCTGAAATAAAAATGTATATTTATTTTCAGCAGATTAATCCCCTCTTCATCTTTTGAGACCTGAGCAGCTGCTCGATGCCGGAGCCAAGGAGATGTGCTTTCGCCGTGCTCTCACAGATGGGCAGGAGGGGCTCTCTAATTGACACTCCAGCATGTTGATGCTGCACAGCAGATCAATAGGACGGTGGAGGAAGGCTGCCCGGAGGAAAACGAATAGAGAGAGCGGGGCTAAGCTGTGCACAAGGACTGCAGAGCTTAGAAGAGGCTGTCACTATCTTTCCAGCAAAAGAAAGAAACTGAGTGATAAGACACTTAAAAGGATGCATTATAAGAATGGTTTTCACTATTCATGCTGCTCTTTGTCTTGAAATCTGCAAGACAATTAGCACACTCAAATGAGCGATATGTCACTGATCTGCTTATTCAGAAAATTAACTCAGCTATTCTAGCCTGAAACATGTTGACACTGTTCTGATAGGAAAGCATTCAATGTATAGTTTTTGACCGTCACTTTAATTTGTTTTTGCCACAAATGGCGTTATACTGTATCTATGTGCCAATCTGTATTCAGACTCCATAGTAGCATCAGGTGAGCCTAGTTTTTATGTATTTTAAATAATGCTTTTGTTGTTTCCCTGGCATATAATGGCAAGAAACTACAAAAAAAACACACCATCGAAATGAACACTGGTATTGCCATCGACTATCAAGCAAATATTTATCTTCAACAGTATCAGAATTGCCTTGGATTTTGCAATAATCAAAACTGAAGTGGTAACTCCTTGTTATGATCACTTCTTTTGGAAATTGATTAGTATATTAGTACTGATTCATTGATTGGTGTTACCAAATAAATATATTTTTCTGTATTTCTAATGCCGATTGTTTGACCGAATTGACAATTGTATTAATATTACATGAATACAAAGTAACCATGCAGTGCTGCTTGAGTGCTGCCAACTGTTGCGCCCTGTCCTTAGCTACGGGCCCGCATGGCGTGAGGTTTTCCCCCCTTTCAGCAGATTACCAGCTGCCATTTGACACAGCTCCCCGTTCCTTGTGCTAGATGGTGATCGAATGGCTCTAGCGGTATTTAGGGAGGTGGACAACCTCGCAATGGCACAGGCATTACTGGACCATTATCAATTCACTTGACGACGTTGACGTGTGGCTCCAACCCCAGATATATGTTCTCTGCACGCATTTATTTTCTGAAGACCACACAAAGTGGCAAGAGAAACTCTTCATTTTGTTGTTGCATCTAGGACCATTGTTTTTGGTAGTTTTTCTTAGCTTTGAGGAAAATGTGTTGGTCAAAGAGAAAATTACTTCCTTTTTTAGGACATTACTTTAAAAGGTCCCATGACATGGCCATTTCTACTGATCATAATTCCATTGTTGAGGTCTACTAGAATAGATTTATATTGTTCAATTTTCCAAACTCACATTGGTTTCTCATACAGCATCTCTGTATAGTATGTGTATTCACTTTCTGTCCTACACGCCTTGTTGGAGCTCCTGTCCCCCCCCCCCTCGAGGAGCGGACAGTGTGAGCTGTATTACTGGTGTAGTTTCCTGGTTGCTGTGTGGGGTCTGCGAGACAGTGAGACACGGCGAAACTATAAAGATAAAGCTGAGTGTGCCGGCGAAACTCCGTGGAGTATCGCGGCTGAGAAAAGATACGGCTGAGTGAGTGTTTCTCCGCGATCCCAACTTGTCTATTACCAACGTTCAGGGAGCTCTATGCTCGACACTAAAGGTCCCCCTCTGCGTTTGATAGTGACGCCAAGGGATCCTGGTTTGTGAGTAGCTCCACGGATTGGTCCATTTGTACCAATAGCTCCATTTGGGCCGTCGTTACGTCACTTGGTACCCGGAATAAACAAAAAATCTCCAACGAAGCGTTCTGGGGCAGCATAG